ACCGATGGTCAGTTTTCCTGAGAATACATAAATGTTTTGTTTAACTGGATATAATCATCATTAATCACTCTGTTCTCTAGGGGGGAGATGAGTAATTGTTTGTTATTTTTGAATTGGTTAAAATATATATATTTTTTTAAATGAATATATTATCTAAGGGAATTTTGCAATCTTTTTCACTTTACCTTAAGTCCCTAAGTAATTAAGCCCATTTTATTGTTTTCTTAGCGATTAAAGATACTTTTTCTCAGCACTTTGCAATTATACATTCAAACACCATATTTAATTTTACATATTGTCTTGCCACCCAAGGTGTTGATATAGATCTGCCAGTTCTTTAGGAATTTTTTTTTGCCTTACAACCTTTATGTGAAAGAGCAAGCAATTTTGCCAAGCAATATTTCACAGAATAGCTTTCCTAGCTGCCACGATTAGGAGTTAAGTAATTATGGTACACAATTTTGTAAAGGTAGCTAACAGGCAATAAGCAAGATTGTTGGAATATTACTTAATTTTAATTTGTGTTATTGTTTTTTGTGAATAGTATGCATAGTGAATAATTTCCATGTGCGTTTATTGGTACATTGGTATTGAAATAAGTCCATACAATTTGGAGGAGTGCCATCAAAAGAGACCTGGTTTGTTTTTCATTTTGATAGCCTTAGGTATGAAGAATCATAATCTAATAACTGCTCTATGCAGCCTGGTGCCGTTACCTCCTAATCAGTCTACTGGGGAAAGAGCTGCCCACTGGACCACCAGGGAGGATACTGGATCACCAGGGAATTTATTACTGAAAAATAATGGTATGTCCCTAAGGTATGTCACGCCCTGTCCTCCCACACTGTTACCCTGCCCGCCCCACTGTCACCAATACACACACTGTCCACCCACACTGTCATGCCACCCCCCACTACTACCAACATACACACACTGCCCCCCCATTGTCACTAACACAAACACTGCCCCCCACACCGTTAACCTCCCCCTTACCCAAACTGCTCCTTCCACACAGTTGGGTGTGTCACTTATTCTTCGTCTCCATGTGAAAAGATCAGATATAATTACCTTCCGAAGATAGAGGGGAGTGCCGCTCGGCGGTCTTCTGCTGTCATGCCTGGCTTTTGCGGCATGTGGATGAATGCCGGCCGCTGCGGACCCACGCAAGTATATAACCCCACATCCATCCACGGTAAAGATGACATCGATGCGGGGGTGACGTCACGAAAAAGATGAACAGGCACGTTTTGTGGTCGAGGGCTAGGTACTGCCAATTGGTTCTGCAAAAGGGTTATTTAAACTCTCATATTCTCTTAACTCATTGCCCTGGCGTGGTTTCATCTAGACGGTTATCCAAGAGTGTGTTCCTGATCATGTTTTTCTGGTTTTTGACTTTGACTTTGTTTTGACTTCCCTGATTTCTGGTACCCTTGACTTTTGGCTTTTCCTTATCGCTGTGTATCGTTCTGTGTCCCTGACCTTGGCTAGTTTTCTGACTATTCCCGGGTACGTTAAGTCTGGCCATTATAAGGTCCGGTAAGACGTTACCCTTAGTTCTAGGGTGCGATACTATTCTGCGTGCTGGATCAATATAATCCTGACAGGGTGTAACTGTGTGTGGCATATTACAGTACATGTAGGTCCCTGTGTGCAATGTATAGAGAATGGGTACATGTCAGTATATCATGTATATCTATGTGTGAACATAGAATGGGTACATGTGTGTGTCTGTCAGTGAGTGTGTGGGTCTATCTGTCAATGAGATTGTATGTGTCTGTGTCGGTCTGTCTGTCAGTGAGTGTGTGTTAAATCTGTTAGTGTGTGTGTGCATATGTGTGTGTCTTGGGCCGACCCTGTGGCCATAACTTATAAGTAATAGCCTGTTTGCAATTGTAATTTTGGCAAACAATGGTCTCCATGCCTAAACCTAGTACTTTGGATTTGGACTTTTTTGAGACTCACAGAATGGGCATTTTGCAGCAAAATTGGGTAAATATATAATATACAGTGTAAGCCATTCTTGATTGTTGTCCATTTCTGTCAGGGACAATTACGTGCACTTCTAATTGTTGAAATTGTTTGATTTGCATGTGGAGAGAAGAGACCACATCCTTCTATCTCTGCTGCAAAATTTTTAGCCTTAATGACTTAAAGGGAACTTATCAGGCACTTACCTGATCATCAGCTCTTGTGATCTCCTTACAGAAATGGGTGTTACACTTGCGTAAGACTTACTTCTTATCCACTCTCACTCTTCACTAATTTGCACTGCTTAAGAAAGTTTCTCCAAGCAGGGCAAACCTAATCCATGAGACTGGCACGCTGGCTCTATTACCAGCATGTTGGCATCTGAATGGAGTGATGTCAGTTTCTCCATTCATATACTCCCTAGCCAGCACTAGTAGCACAGACTAGGGAGTTACCATGGCAACCACAGTGTCAGCATATTCATTTCCAGTTTAGAGACCATGAGCATACATTGTCTTTCCTTAATACTTAGCTGACAGAAAGACTTAAATAGAAACATAGAATGTGACGGCAGATAAGAACCATTCGGCCCATCTAGTCTGCCCAATTTTAACCTCTACCACTTCAGCTGGAAGGATATTCCTGCATTCACTACCCTCTCAGTAAAGTAATACTTCCTGATATTATTTTTAAACCTTTGTCCCTCTAATTTAAGACTATGTCCTCTTGTTGTGGTAGTTTTTCTTCTTTTAAATATAGTCTCCTCCTTTACTGTGTTGATTCCCTTTATATATTTAAATGTTTCTATCATATCCCCCCTGTCTCGTCTTTCCTCCAAGCTATACATGTTAAGATCCTTTAACCTTTCCTGGTAAGTTTTATCCCGCAATCCATGAACCAGTTTAGTAGCCCTTCTCTGAACCCTCTCTAAGGTATCAATATCCTTCTGAAGATACGGTCTCCAGTACTGTGTACAATACTCCAAGTGAGGTCTCACCAGTGTTCTGTACAATGGCATGAGCACTTCCCTCTTTCTACTGCTAATACCTCTCCCTATACAACCAAGCATTCTGCTAGCATTTCCTGCTGCTCTATTACATTGTCTGCCTACCTTTAAGTCATCAGAAATAATCACCCCTAAATCCCTTTCCTCATATGTTGAGGTTAGGACTCTATCAAATATTCTGTACTCTGCCCTTGGGTTTTTACGTCCAAGATGCATTATCTTGCAGCTCTTAACCAGATGCCATTATGATAACAAGTCCCAATATTTTGAATCTGTACAGTACATGTTTGGGGTTTGTGGTTCCTTTGTATGACAATCCATGGAGTTGTGTTTAAAACAGAGCAGAAATACAGGACATCTAAAACATGATGTTTATACTCACCGGCATACCCAGCAGGGCTTTCTGTGAGAATTGTGAATATGTGATTTGTCAGAATTATTATGTCGACTTGTTCTGACTTACTTTTATTATTTTGCTTTTTTGCTTTATTATTAGATATTATATTTTATTTGGTTTTAACATGCTAATGTCTGGAAGCATAGAATGAGTAATGCAAAAAAAAGAAAGAAATTGTTCAGATCAAAAGTGTGTGTGACAGATTCTGTCATAGTGTTCTAGCTGTAAAAATCCCAAAGTGCAAGTAATGCAAATTGACAAACTTTTTGATCTCACTTGAATCCATCTTTCATTCTAATCACTTTACAATACATATCTAATTATAATAAACTAATAAGTAAAAATCTAAAAAGGTTTTAAAGCCCAATTCTGCTGCCAGGCAATCACTTTTTTTTTTAAAACATTCTTTATTATTGATGTTTATCAAAGTAAATAGGGTACAGAAAAGAAAGGGTGGGGTGCAGCACAGTGATTCTGATTCAAGCAAACAGTGGGTATGGCTTAGACAGTAAACCTTTGTGTTGTTGTTTACAGGGGGCTTGCACAGAAGCCATCGTCACATGTTGGATTTGCAATCCAAATACTTAGTTTGAGATTTGGGGTGTGTCGCGATAAGGTTTGGGTGTGCGTTTTCCACCTCTATGTTGGGTCCCCTCAGCTCTCTGTCTAAGTCTTGGTTTAGGTGCCTGGAGCTTGGAGTACAACTGGGTGTGGGGTGTTTGATAGGTACATTACTCAACAGTTGTCATTTTCTAGGCAGTTGGGGGCTGCCCTTTCACCTTTTAAGGTTGGGTGGAAGGGCAGGCAATCACTTTTTATATTCTTTAATTGTACTTGGAAAAAATGGCATGACTCCAGTGGTACAAAGGCTACATAAGCTCCTATAAACACCATACTCAACTTAACTCAATATAATAGCATCATCCATGTGTTAAATCAACATAATTACATCTAAGAGGTTATAGGTTTATTACTTTACTTCTGGACCAAATGCAATGCCCATTTTGAGTTTCTGGATGTGGTGACTGGATGACTTTCTTCTAATTTTAAAGCAATAAAAAAATTACATTAATATACATTCATTATTTTACATCTTTTTATGCACATGTAATGGAGGCACAGGATTTCTTGGGTGCCAGAATAATTGGTAGTTTCCAAAAGTACTTGAGATATGAGTCCAAAACAACTCTTATCCCTGACCTTGTGGCCTCCACTGATGATATCACTTGAACCAGTCCCAGACTGGCCGTTGGCTAAGACTGACAGGAAGATCAGAGGATACCATTTCAATGTTCCTGAGGCCGAATCTCATGAGAGGAGTGAACTCTAGCAAATTGCACCCTTCACACACACACACACTACACTCCTCACACACACACTGCACCTCTCTCTCTCACATACACACACACACACACACACACACATTGCACCCCTTACACACACACACTGCACCCCTACACACACACACTGCACCCATCATACACACACTGTACCTCTCCCATACACACTGTACCCCTCACAAACACACTGTACCTTTTACAAACACAACAGTGGTGTATTTTGGATTTGTGCTGCCCTAGGCACAATTAAATTCGGGCATCCCCCAAATCTAAATTTGCTCCCCCCCCACCCCAATTCGTGTCAAGGCCACTTTTTTGACTGACAGACACAGGCCCTCATTGACACATGCACTGACATACACTCAATTGCAGATACACAGTCATTGGCACACACATAGAGTCATTGGCACACACACTGTTTAATCAAAAGACACTGACACACCCACCCACTCACTGACAGACACACACTCTCAGATACACATAAAATGACAGACACACACTCACTCACAGAAATACCCATCCTCACTGATTTGACACACCCTGACAGACACACACTTTTACTCACTCACAGACACACACTGACAGCTACACTCACTAACAGAGCATGAGAGAGCAAGAAGAGTGGAGGACAGCGCTTCCTTGCCGCATGGTTAGAATATTAGTAGTTTAACACCTCGGGGGGGAGGGGGGAGAGGAGGTAGGGTTAAGAAGGACAGCCCCAGGACATCAGGCAAACAAAGCATATGTTTGGGAGCTTGGGGTGGCATTTTTATTTGCCTTGTGGTAAATACAGCCCTGAAACACCCACTGCACCCTCACATACACATACATAGCACCCGCACACACATACTGCAGCACTCACACACATACTGAACTCCTCAAACACACTGGACCCCTTACAAACACATTCAGGATCCCCTATGCACACACTAGATTCTGTGTATGCAAAGAGACCCTACACACCTATACACACATAGCCTACACACCTATACACACATACACACACAGCCTACATACCTATACACACATACACTACAGACCTTATACACACTGTGCCCTCTACACATGCACACTATCTCTTTACAGCCCCTAACCACATAAATTACACAACACAACTGAAACTGACGTATTTACACAAAACACCACACCACAATCCACTAATTCTACACATTCACACATTCCCACAACAAGGCTCCAAACACATGCACAATATGCTTTCTTGGTCCTTTTACCCTCTGGTATCCCACTTAGGGAGACACCAGAGACAAGTCACAAATAAACACAGCACAAGCATGTTAATAAATTTGCTTGCACTGCGCAACAAACACAAAGCCTTTATCTCATGTGATAGCTCTTCAGCAGGGCTCTGCACATGGGTTGCCCTGGAAGAGCATTGAACCAACATGCAACATGCTCACTTTGAGGGGTGTGTGCTTGTCATTGATGATGAACCCCCCCCCCCCCTCTGACCCCACCCACTTCTCACTGGGCCACTGTGATAAAAAAAACTGCCCCTGACAATTTTTTTCCCAGTCCGGGAATGTCTATTATATTTAAGTCAAATGCAAATGGACATTATAAAACTAAGCATTCATAGAGGGACATACAGACACACTCATACACAGGAACACATATACATACACAACCACATAAAGGCAGACACAGATATAAACACATTCAAGGTAAGACACATTTATATATATACATGAACTTGAGATTGTCCTTGGTGCAAGGAATAGGCGGGAACGATCATAGGGTGCTCTAATGTGAAATAATAGGTCTGGGTATTCAGGTAGGTGAGACAGGTCCCTAGAAAGTTATAGGGATATAGTGAGAATATTAGTGTCGAAGGCACTTTTGTAATGGTAAAAGAAGCCTGTGGTTTGATAGAAGCTGTGGCACATGAAAGCAAAAGGGGAATAAAAGGGGAATAACTAGAGGATATGAAAAGGGGTTCTGTGGTGTTGAATGTGACCGTTGTTGATAGGAGGAGATCCTGAGATTTGCTTGAATCACAATTTTATCTGGGAGTATTGGGGAGGCTCAGGGGTGAAAGCCCTGGATCTAAGGTGAAAAGTTCCCAGTGAAATTACTTAAAGAAAGCAGAATACATCTCGGGCACTAAAGGGGTTAATAGCTTATGTAGAGTAGGTCAGACAGTAATAGCACAAAACAAGTGTTCAGTCTTTGCCAGTGTTATTACTCCCTTCCACAAACAAAAAACAATGCAATTTTCATGTCTCTATAGGACGCTGTCTTCTCCGCCTATGTTTGTTTATCACCAGTGATGTAAGTATATTTCCAAATGTATCATATTGAGAAAGGGGTAAGCCGCACATTAGATGTTGTGAACTACATCACCCAAACTGCTCTTACATCAATAATGCTGGCAGAGTACCTTTTTTTTCTGATTTTTTTTTCTTACATGAGATGTTCGAAAGATGATCTTGGAAAAGTTTAATAGACCCTCAAAGTAACTGGACAAATCCCATGCATATTACATTTTAAACTAATGCAGCTTGGAAAGGAGTGGATTGCAACTGTTATAATTTTCCTGGCAGAAAGCAGTGGCGGCTGGTGAAGTTTTACAATGGTGGGACACCATACTTCTCCCCCAGAATTGTAGCCACTGTGGTCTTTCAGCCAGAAATTAACCCTAAGTTCTAATACATCTAAAAAAACATTAACCAAAACACCCCTAAACTTAGAGCATGGGCAACAGTGCTGTATTTCACACATCCTCCTTAAAGAACAGCAGTCAACTCAAAACTTTTTTAATATAACAATCCTTTCTTTGAGTATTGAAAGGAAAAAAAGTGTTTTTAAATAAAGTATATGTTGTGAAGAAAATAGACTCATTTTCGGTATTTTCTTCTCTCATTCGTGATTTTCTGCTTTATTTAGTTTATTTTGGATTTATTGGTTCGGTAGATTAAACAACCGAACACCGACCACCCTCCTGGCTCATTATCTTTAATGGGAACCGTCTTTTAAGCGCTCTCTGGGCGGCCGCCATTCGTATAGTCGAATGCCACGTGGAAGAGAAAATGGCGGCCATCTTGTTTGCACGAAAGGAGGCAGCGGGACTTGGTCATCGAGTGTCTGGAACTAAAATCGGACACTCAACTTCCCGAACACCGCTGAAACATACGAACGCCTGCTTCCTTTTGTTGCCGAACAGCTAGGAGAGCGCTGTTCGGTAGTTTGGTTCCCACGAACACGGGGAACAATTGCTCCTCTGAGCCAGGAGGTTCCATTCGTGAGTTTATTCATTTTTGGGCTTTTTCAAAATTGACCGACCGCACACACTGAACTCAGGGGACATGTCATTTGTGGGGATAACTTGTGTATAAAGGGGTGTTCCAAGTTTTGGGGAAATTGTGTGCCCTTTGCCTGGAGATAATTGTGTTATTCCTTAACTTATCTCATTATCTCCCAGGCAGAGGGTTTTACTGTAAATCTGTATTATGATTGGTTGTTCCTTTTGTTTATTGTGGGAGGTCTTCTTGCAGGAGGATTTCCATAAAAGCCAGTGTGGCATCAATAAAACTTTATTCCTGTTGTGCCCTTCATGAAGTCTAGGCTCATTCTCGGGTAACCTTTTATTTGCTGGGGAGATTCGTCTTGGAAGCTGCATTCATCTACACTATTCCTCTACACCCTAACTGCAGCTATAATCACTTATGCTCAGCTATTGGGAAAGGAATAGAAGAACTCAGTACCATAACCACTGAGGTTCTTAACATATGTAAAAACTGAAAAACTCATCTCTACCTTTAGAATATTACACCTTGGGTCAGACAGTGTTTGAAAACTGATGGTTAGTCTCTATGGTCTTCCCTGCTTCACTATAGTTTTCAAACACTGTCTGACCCAAGGTGTATGTATATGGCTGAAGGATCATGTCACATACTAAAGGCAGAGATGAGTGTACGTAATTTTTTACATACACTTACTTTGAAAAAAAAATAGCTATGTCCTTTCAACACTTGATGAAAGGATAAGTGTATAAAAATAGTTTCCAGGTGACAACAATTTAATTAATACTTTGACCTATTCATCAGTAATATTGTTCATTCAGTCTTAGAAAGTGAATGTCTCACACTCTTAACAAACTCCAGTCCAAGTCTGATAAGTCATATTGTTTCTCTGTAGGACATACTGAAAGGTCAGAGCAGTACAGATGTAAATCCTGGTAAAATGCTTTGTAAATAAATACATACATTTATAATGACATATACAATCACTTGAGCTCTTACAAATTAAGCAAAGAATTCCGCTTAAATTTATAGAAATTGGTTTCTTGGAAAAGAGTTACGTTTTTATTAATCATAGTAAAATAAGAAAAAATTACTTTTCCACAAAACTATTAAGTCTTTGTTTAACAATAATGATCTCATAAATTGTATTAGATTGGTTAAAGATGTTACATTGATTGGAAAGTATTGATAGAATCTTATCTTTTGTGTTATATGATTCCACTCTAACAAGTTTGGTTTTTTAATTCAGTACCTTCTCGTTAGAAAGTCTGCTCTGAATATTTTTCGAGATTCTCCAATCTCAGGAATAATAAATGTTTGACATGCACTACTTAAAAAAAGAGTTTGAACATTTTCTTAACATTAAGCAGAGGTATATAAAATTGACTACATCTGGGTACTGATGCAATAAGGGCAGAATAAAAAAAAATTAAAATTAGTTTTCATGAGTTCTTGAGATTTTCTCATCATGTTTCTCAAGAAATGTATCACTTCCATGCTTGAGCTGTGTTCCGCAGGATAACATATCACAGAACCAAAAGGACATTTTATGTTTCAATTGAAAGTTCCACTTTGAGACCCATACTCAGAGCCCACATGGCATCTAGTCAATGGTAATTAGTTACCAAGCCAAAAAAAACAAACACAACTTTATGTATTGGTTTCTGTATCTGGAAATACATTTTATTATTTCAAAATATTTTCTTTTTGCCTGTATAGATTCGATTGTGATTTTATATCTGATTAATGGCACGTAACAAATAGTACACTATATTAAACACATGTGTTGTTGGCAAGCCAAGCAACAAATTTTCTGTACAACTTATTGTTTTTGTTTAGATTATTATTATTGCTATTATTATGTGGTCAAGCAATATATATGCTGGACAACGTATTGTTTTTTTAAGCTGATTATACTAATATTACTATTAGTACTATTATTTTATTATTATTATTATTTAGCTTTTTTTTTTCAAAAACAAACTGCTAATCAAAAACACTTAAGACTTATGGTTTGCTATGTCCTTTAAAATAAAATAAAGTATGTCTTTAAAAACAAAAAAATGAACGAGACCTAGGCATTCTTACCTTATCGCAAAAAATATTAACAGCTACTCAAGTAACCGTACTGAGTAAAAGAATCAATTACGCTCCCACGTGTCATTTTAAATCGTTGCAGGCTTTAATAGACATTATTAAGTTCATTAGAAATGGCGCATTACCACCAAAGAAGATGCAAATGACAAAT